GGATCCCATCCGGCCCCATAGACTTGTGAGCGTCCAGGTGGCATAGCAGGTCATTGACTGCTTCCTCTTGGATTACGGGGGGTTCATCCTGCTCGCCGTCCCCGTCTTCCAGCTCGGGGGGCTGAGTACCCTGAGGATAACTGCTCTGCTTGTTAAAGACTGAGGCAAAGAAGGCATTGAGTACCTCAGCCTTTTCCTCATCCTCAGTGACAATGTTCCCCCCTGCATCCAATAAAGGAATGTAGCAGATACTGTAAACACTGATTCAAATCCACTTTCGTCTCCTAGACCAGGCAGCATTTAGGACACTCCCTAGAGTGCCTACAGAAGTGCATTTGTACTTTAACAAGTGACAACAGAACAACAGAGTTGTTTGGACAGGACTACAATTGTAATCAGGTCTGTTTCCATGTCTGTCTTAGCTGACTGGAAAGTGCCTTGTAACATGCACAGTATTCTCTCTCTCCTCCTGCCTCCTCTACAGGCATTTTAAGTGCACATATGTAAGTTTTAAGAAATGGGAATCAGAAGTACTACAGTATCTGTGAATACCCAGGTAAAAATACCACCTTTACCAAAAACCTCAGTACAGAACAGTTACCAAAAAGTGATATCAGATATACCACATAATTTGTACAGGCTTGTAGAGTGAATGGGAACTAGTTCCTTCGAAAACAGTTTGCCAAATACTATTGATGGTGGCCTTTAACTAGTTCTAAGTTGCTATGAATGTCTTTTCAGAGATAAAATTACACTTTTCTTTCCGCTTTCATTACCAATTTTAAAAAGTTGAAAGTGCACCTACATCAGCTCCAGTGTTACTACGTGCAAGGACCAGCTATAAAAAGAGCTATATGTTTAACTTAACATGCAAGCTTCACAAGTTGTTACAAAAAGGTCAGGATGACTGTAATGCAATCCACAGAGCATTACCTCAGATGTGCCCAATTTCACCATTCGTATCGGTGAAGCAACACCAGAGTTGTTTAAATGCTGACATTAAGCATTTCACTGGGGATCACATTTACTGCAGTGCTAGTAATATTTTAGTTAACTCATTGTGGTGGATATTATATAGAGAAACAGCAAAAGGAGAAAAAAAATAAACAAGAAAAATCAATCCCATTAATTCCAGACTACTTTTCACCCTCATCTAAAAGAGGACGTCAAAATAAAATGCATCTCCTCTCCAGGACAAAAAGCCTTCTTGGTGCCAAGCACCAAAAGCTTAAGATTCTCCCCGCAAATAAATCTCCGTATTTCAGAATTAAACACATTTTCCCTTAGAGTAGGTTATTACATTTGCTACCAAACATTTCATTTCTCTGCAACTTTGTCCAGAAGCTTCTGGTACCAACTACTATCAGAACTAAATTTCAGGAATACCGTCTTGATCTCAAATCAGGAGTATGCTATCCAAGTTATTTCCAGCCTCTCCATTCTACAGAGCAGTTACTCACTGTCAATACAAACCTCTGTGGCATGTTGAAAGCCCAGAGGTTAGGGCAGCACAAAATAAACACTAAAAATAAATAGAACAAATAGGACCTAAGTTAACAGGGCTGAGGCACAAAGAGGGGGAGAAAGCTTGCTTTAATTTCATTAATACAGAATTGCAGGGTCTTAATCAAAAACTGTTATCGAGAGTCTGACCAGTAAAACAACTTTGTCAGAACAGTCCTTCTTCAACATGGGAAGAGTCCTCACAGATCTCTGGACAGTGTACCCTGGGAACAGTGTCTCATTACAGTTACAAGCTCTATAAAGAGTAGGAAAACAGTACTTTATGTGCAATTATATATTATGCCATGTTATTGTTTGGTCCCAAATAGATGTCTTTTCACTGTAGAAACAGTGATTTATAGGACAGGGATAAACAAGCATAGATATACTGCTGTCAAGAAGATTAAAAAACTGGCACAGAAAATACTTCTAATACTTTAGAGGAAAGCTGCTTTATATCTGGTAGAAGTTAATGACAATACACACATTCACATCGTACAAATTTATGCCAGAAAAAGGAATTAAAAGCAGGAAGGTTTGTCCAGTCTTACATTTAAGTACACTCAGGGGATTTATTTCCTTTCCCAACACTTGTACATTTCATCACATGCTCTCAAATCATTTTACAAACAAGACATTGGTGTTCTCATTTTGCAGATTGGAAAGACAGATTAAGAAACTGACCTTCACGTCATAGCAAGTTATTGCAAAAAGGTGATTACAGACAAGGATTACCTAAAACTTCTGTTCAGATAGTAAGAGATAGCTACCTGCTACAATCATTGTTCTTAATTTTTAAAAAATTTGTTGCCCATTATTAATATTTACATTTCTGAATAAAAACACCTGTGCAAGCCAAAAATGTGGTTAATCTTAACACATGTCCACATTTTGGAATTAATATTATGCATTTAACAGTAAAATTCCAGTAAATAAAGAGGACATAAAGAACTTTCATTACTCTCTTTTCCTGCCCCATTTAGTCAAAGCCTAAATGTAGTTTCTCCAGAGATCTGGAGTGAATACTCTAGGAATTCTTATTTTTCCCACTTTATGCTAGTGAATAATATACTAAGAAATAAGAATTTTAAGGGTAATATTATTTTAATACATACGATTTTTGCTGCAGACATGCTGCATGGCCCACACTGCCCATAACTGGACACCAGGTGTCATGAAACAGCCAAGTAGTGGAAAAAACGGATTGAAAGACCTATTAAAAAAAAAAAAGGAGAGGAAGAGCAACTCACTTTACTACTAGGTATTATTACTTCAGAGGTCACATGTTGTCTACTCATTCAGCTACAGGTTTAACTAGGAGAGACACTTGATAAACTAGAGTTTTAGATGCAGCAGGCAAGTCTTTTAATGTTTAAGACAATTACTAGCAAAAGTCATATATAGTGGATATGTGGTATGCTTTTACCATACTATCTGGATGCCTCCTGCTCCTTAAAAACAGGAGTAAAACCAGTGGAAGTTATAAGGATTAGATGGACAGTAATTATCTAATTGTACATTTTGGCCTCAAGCTTCTTTATCTAGGACAGATAGTGCTAACATAGTGCTAGCCAATATAACCTTACTGGTTAATCTTTGTGTCTGAGTCTTTTAGACATGCAGCTGAATACCTTTAGTAGAAAAGCAGGCAGAACAACATTATATTTTTCTTTTACAGGAGTCCCTAACCTTCTTTGCTCACAAAGGGAAAATTAACATGCTGTATATTTTAAGCCGATAGGTGTTCTTCCACTGGACAAAACCATGTCTGGCTAGTAACTCACTCTGCTTTGGGATCAAGTTTTAGATCTAGTTCAGTTTATTTTCCAAACTCTGAGTCAAGAGAATAGTTACCTGTAAGCCACCATCTCACATTCTGGGGTTGGCCAATTCAAAATGGCAGAATGCTGCAAAATACAGAATCAAGAACACTCATTGTTAAATACAAACTTTGAAAAAATGTTAGAAAAGTATGATAAAATTCACCATCATTTCTGTACCAGCTGTTCAAGGAGAGATGTCCTCTGGCTGCGACTTAATGTCCAGGCCTGCTCTCCTCGAGATATCAAATGAGCAATAATCCCTGCTGCAAAGTAGCTAACTTCCACCTCCACACTGTGCAGTAATTTACTGATGTGGTCTATAAAGTCCTTCCACATTAATTCAGAATGGAGTTCTTTAACTTCAGCTATGTTATTCTGGAGGGGAGGGGTGCGGGGGGAGAAAACAGAAAAGAGAAAATATCAACAGAAAGAATACGACATGAGAGAGATAAACATAAACTTGAACTACATTATGTAAGTAAACACATATAGACACCAGAATGAGATCTTCATACATCCAGGTGACCACCAGATGCCAAAACACTACTTTTGCTTTTGAAAACTTTTCTGGTCTAATGCAGAAATTTGCCTCAAAACAAAGAGGTTTTCTCATAAATAATTTTAGGCCATTAGCATGCAGAGTACACTAAAGTAAAGGCTAGTTTTAACATTCTTGAACACACTCAATTTCAGCAAACTTCAGCAGTGCACAATTCTGAATTCCATTGATTTTCAACCTACTTTTTGTATTTGGACTCATCTGAAGCCTTACTCACTGCTCTTTCTTAAAAGCTCTTTTTGTTTACTGTAACCATCAATTTCAATATAACTGGTGCTTTTGGAGAATTGGTAAAACAGTCCAAAACAATGTCAATTATGAATAATGCACACTATAAAGATTAAAGAAGAACGTAAAAATATTAGGCAAGTTTTCAGATTAACATGGGGTTAAAAAAAAAATCAGTTTTTAAAATTATATATCTCAAGGCTTTTTTGTTTTCATCTCACCAGAAGTCCAAGAACTTTCTGTTGAATGGATGATTCAGACGGAAAAGACTGTGGAAAAAAGAAACAAAACTATAGGTGACTATTTATGCTTATTATTGAAACAATGTTAATTACAAACCTATGTTGATAATCCACCACCAAAACTGAATTCTTTACCTCTAAGACTCTCATGAAAAGTTCTAGCCCTTGATTCTCAATGAAGTGCCGACATGTTGTTGGAGATTCATCAGTGAGGTTCCAAAGTGCACTCAATGTGAACTTGAGGGTAGTATCTACAAGATTCTGATTTGTTTTCTGTTTAACTATTTGTAGAAGTTGCTGGAAAAAAACAATCAAAAAATCCCAGTTATGATTGCGTATCAAAAAATTAGTAGTTCCTCTGCTTCTTTCTGCACCAACTGGGGTAATGCATAGCTATCATTTATATGCAGAGTAAAGATCTACACGTTTAGGGTCAAACTATACAAAATAAAAAACAGCTATTAAACTTTTTACCTCCCCTTTGAACATGGTTACCTGCTAGAGGAACTCCTTTCTTTTCACCATAATTACATGTGTAGTACTATTACAGACGGCACAAAGCCATCCACAGAACTGTGGACCCCACGTGAACACTGACAGCACTAACCACTTACTTCAAATATTCTCTTTTTGAGCATCTTTCATCTTATACAATGGATTTCAAATCAAGAGATGTCTTGCTATTTTACTTTGTATTAATTGTGTCAAGTTTTTCCACTTTGGCTTCTTTTCATCTATGATAATACGTCTCATTGTCACTGTCTCTGGTATTATCTCTAACAAATTCTCTAGGCTTTTCTCTTCTAAAGAACTTTCAAATGAATACAGGTTAATGTGTTCTTAGAATTCTATCTACTTATGTTTATTTTGTATCTAAGGAATACTGTTAGCATGAATAGCTGGAGAGGATGGTATTTTTGACTGTCAGGAAAGTATCTGACTTACCCTAACAATGAAGAGCTCTGCACCAAGTTGAGCTGTTTGCTCTGTTGAAAGCTGTAAACAAACAAAACCATATCAACAATTTTTTAGATTTCAGAAATATTATCCTATCACCTCAAAGCTTAAATTTCATACCTTTGCAGCAAGAATGGAAATTATGGCTACAGCCATCCTTTGCATGTTTTGATCTTCGTGATTACACAGCCACTGCATAACAAGTTTGGCTGCTTCAAACCTGGAAGTTAAAAATAAATTCAGTTTTTAGAAGTCTCTTAAGTCTTACTAAAAGAAAATGTACACAGACAACACACCAGCTAGAAATGCATGCAAGACAAAATAAACTGGAAGAAGTATGCCTTGTACCAAAAAAAACAGTAGAAACACACAGTGAAATTACAGGTATTGCATGAGCCTCAGTCAGCTTTGAGTTGTTTGCTTAGGGTCTCTTACTTCCAATTATGTATCAAAGTGCACAGAATTGCTTCCAAAGAAGGAAGAAAAATTTGGCACAGTCTTCTGAAACATCAGACCAACACACTTCAAAGCATTTGGGCAAAACATTTAAGTAGAAAAATCTCTGCAAAAAGCAATCCCATAGTTCCCCAGAGAAATCCTGACTTCTGTTACACACAATTAGTGATAGACACTAATCCAGGTGAAGTAAAAAAAAAATTCCCGTACACCAAAGGATTTTTTTCAGACCTATATTCAATCGTGAATTACAGGCCCAAAATAATATAGACCAGACAAATTCAGCACACTGGAATGCTTTAAACTGACCAAAACTGAGACCAGAAACAAACCTTCTGAAGGAACAGACAAAAAAGTATTCTGCAATGCTACAACTCATTTTAACTGACATATAAAACTTGCCTGTTAAATGGAACATCCTGAAGTATTCTGTCACTGCATAGTGAAAGAAGGCAATTCTTTTGCAGCTATGAGAAATGAAAAAGAATTACTTCAGAGACATACATATTTCGGAATACTTTCTTGCTATGAATCATTAAACATATTTCCATGAGGTCATGAGATGTGGAGAAACTTTTTGTAAGATCCACAAGACAGGGAATCCTACAGAAAATTAAGAAATTTCATCTTTTACCTGTTGATGATTTGGGAAGTGTTCCATGGCCTTCAGGAGCAAGTGAGTAACATCGGCCAGAAGCCGCACAGGCATGCCTGCTGCTAAATCTTGCTTGGTTAGGTTGAAGACACAAGCACTTGCTGCTAACTGCACGGGCAAGTTCAGGGGGTGATTTCTCATTCCAATAACCACAAGCTGAAATGCAAGAGTTTTGCCTACATTAGTTAGTTACACGTTTGCACACACACCTCGAGAGCAATCCACTGTTGCTTGAGGCCACAACAATGACTCACAGCACCCAATTTCTGCCTCCCTTTTACTTAAGTGAAAAATCCATCTGGTGTGATTTTAATTCTCGGGAAGAACACTTCCTTCTGCTCAGTGATTCAAAGCTGACAACTTCTATTTCTACAAGTCCTTTTGCACTGGTTGCAGCAGCCTCTCAAAGGAAATGCTGCGTGGAATGAAAGAGATTCCTAGAAAGATCCAGGGTTTGCTCTCCACACTGGGATAAAAATCACCAAACCCTTTCAGAGATGAATGAGGTAGGACAGAGTTTCTGCAGTGTAATGGTAATTATGTAGTGGCTTGTTGTTTGGTGACTAGCCATTTCAGATCACATCCTAAGCTGCTAGGTCAGGATATATTTTTTGCACCTTCTTCCTGAATTATGTTTTTGGCTACGTATGTTGATTGTGGTCTCAAGTAAGAAAATATTTTTCTTGTTGATTATTGATTGACAAAGTCTTTTTGATACTGAAGCCAACAAAATCAAGGTCACTTGTTCAACTTCAAAGAGGATAGGAAAAACAAAAATAATCTGTCCTACTGATGCCTCTTTTTATGATCACAGTAAAAACTAAACCATTCCTGGTGTTCTAGACATGGAAAGCCAATGCCTAGAATGGATTTCTAAGGAAGTTTCTAGGATTTTCCAAGTTAGAGCCCAATATAGAACACTAACAATATTTATTCACTTGCTATCATACTGGAAGGTGACAGTGGAGAGAAATATCACTAAATGCCTTCCTTATTATTACTGCTTTGTAAGCATCAGCAGAAGGCACTGTTGTACCTGGGGAATAAGACTAGACAGACCTTTGATTTGACCCAGTACAGATATGTTCTAATGACACAATTCACCATCTAAGGACAATTTCATATCATATTCAAAATTACATGAAAAAATTAATTTAGATGCTACTAGATTTAGATAGTATACATTAGTCCAGATCAATTTTACCTAACATAAAACACTGCAGGGCATCTTCTACATAACTTGTTGAAATAGTTGTTAATTTTCATCCGACATTAAAATTTTAATCTTAAAAATCACAACAAAAAAAATGTAAAAGCTTATAAAATAATTCATACCAGGGTTTTGGGGATGGGCTCAGTTTAAGGAACAATGCATGACAATCATCAAAACTATATTATTTTACCTTTAAAATTTCAGGCTTTGTTTTTTCCATTACATGCGTCAGGCTGAATAAATGAAAGAGTGCTTCTCTCACAAAGAAGGCCCGTTCACTGTAACGCTTCAGTGCTTCAGAAATCTGAGTTTCATTTGCTTCTCCAGACACCTATGAACAGAGAAGTAATCTTTAGTTCAAGATGTCATCTTTTTACTTTAAAAATTTTGTTCTTAAAAAGCGCAAAGCTGCAGTTTCAAAGGGGGCGATATTTTTAGCCAAATCCTTCAGTAAGCAAATGATTACTTTATCTGACCATATTAATCCAGAACTACACAATCTTCAAATATTCTTCATAAAGAGGAATCTGCATTATAAATAAGCCAAAGTTAGGCTTCAGCCATGTCTTTAAGCAGAACTGTATGAAACCGCTAAGTAAAAATAGCACTTCATAACTAACAAAAGCTGCTTATGATGCACCAAATGCCTAAAAGCACTACTTGTAACTGAATGCTCTGTCAAATGCTGCTGATAAACTGATGAAGATGGTATTCTGGCTGTAATTTTTTGGCTCTGGGTTCTAGCTCTGGCGATAAGAAAAGATTTCCATTCTTTGTCTACATCAAGTTTCCTATAAGCTATTATCTGTAGTAATAGCTTTCCAGCACTGTATTAAAGAACTAACCATTGCTCTCTGCTAAAGAAGTAATTCTTAAAACCAGACTTTAAATACATGTGAAAACTAAACAAGCTAACTTAAGCAAAGACTGCATTAGAAGCTATCAGCTGTTGACTAATACGAGCTTAAGTTCAGAATATTAAATCAGCAACTAGCTGCAAATTTTTTCCACCTTCCAATCTGCTATATTTTCCATTTAACTATATTTTATCTACTTTATAACTGTAAGTTGTATAGCTGTAGACGGTTTGTTCCTCAGTCCTACTATTTAATGAATCATTGCTGCAATCACTGTTTTTTTAAATTCTTAGGGAAGCATGCAGAACTTGTTCTACTTAATGTGTCACATAAGGGAAAGCAAATGTTCATAGATTGAAGTGTCACATTCTGTGCATTCTCTATTGTACAGAGCCAAATTTTTTGAAACTTGCTAGATCAGGAATATATTACAGCCTTGAGAGAACTGATACCATCTTGGATTTTGTTTTGTATTCTCTACTGACTAGAACAGGGCAATCATATTTACTGACATGTTTTGCGGCCAATTATACACTATATGAAGAATTTCCACTTGGCTTCATGTTCTCAACTATAATGTCTGCCTTCAATCTTTCAAGAATTTTCTATAATTAAATTTCACAGGACTGCTGTAAAGACAGTAATATTTTACTTCTGCTGTCTCCATGAGTGCTGTGTCCTGTTTATTCTTTAGCAGTATCTAGACCAAGCAGCTGAGTATTTCAGTATAGTCACTAATGAATTTCAGGTCACCAAAAAAAAAAAAGGGGGGGAGGGACCCAATCACTGCCTACAGTCTCTTCTTGACAACTATGCCTTAAAAAAAGAAACAAGAAAGAAATGCAAACTGCTTTTTGCTAACTATACGGCTACAAGTCCATCATGATTTTCACATTATTAAAACCTTCTTCCTTCCTACCTTTTCATAGCACAGTCACTTGTATGAAGCATGTATTCTAAATAGCAAGGATTATATTGAATTATTTTATACCAAACATGAGGTATAATTTCCTGATGCCATACATCACCAAACAGGAACTTGCTTTCTCCAACAATGCATTTCAACATTCATACACATCGCTATCAGCTGTGACAACTAAGTACTCAAGAGACTCAGCCATTAACAACTGTCAAAAGTTCAGGGGGGGGGATAAAATTGTGTAGCTGTGTTACCTCACTTGCTTATAACAAGAGCATTCCGAATTTTAAAATTGAAGTGCAAAACTCAACTTGCACAGGAGACAGACTAAACTATGGACACATTATGCAAACTCTTCCTCACTCCCCCTGCAGTTTCCATCATCCTCATGGCACAGTAGAAAACACAACTCAGAATCAGAGATTATATACCACTGACATCGACATGTCTAAAATCTCTTTTTCTTCTTTAATTCTGACCCCTTCATATCAGGGACAGGATAGGCTCATTCTCCAGTAAGTGCATGTATATTCTACAGAACAGGGAACAACGTCTTGTTGCCTGGCACTAAAAGATAAATAGATGCACTTCATCAATCTCATCCTAAGGGGCTGAGTAATTTAGGATTTGTTCAAGAGGAAGTTTTTTGTCCTAAGTAATTGCTTCTTTCATGTTTATCACCAAAAGACCTTTCAAGGTAGGTAGAAATATTGTAATAGGAAATAGAAGTGGTGATGGAGTACAACAGCAGCTCAGTTATTAAGTTTTATTGTATCTGCTGTGTTCATCATGAACTGCTCAGCTTATGCAAATTGTACCTCCACCTCTTACATATTGCTGCCTTATGCTAGATACTGTGCTGGAATCCAGAGAATATTTTTCCAGTAAATGACTTCAGACTAGACAAAGTTCAGTTCTCTCAGATCCGTTATGTTAAATCAGGATCTAAGGCTCACTGAAAAGGCACAGGAGATAGATGCTTCTTACAATAGTATTATGTAAATTTAGCAGTTTCTGTGCCAGAATTAAGTAGGAATTTGACATAAAGTCAGTAATTACAATTAACAGTTAAAAAAAAAACCATACAGCCTCCTTCTGAAACACCTACATACATTTGTTACAAATGATTAGTTCTATTTTTCCTGCACATTGTAATTTTTCAGTAAAATTAATTCCCCCGCTTAACCTTTAGGTTTCCTTCTCCTGTTAGGAATTCTGAGTAGCCGGCATCAGTAGCTAGCAGTCCTACAAACTGCATTGTGGGACGTTGCTGAATAAAAGCTTCTACAGCTTTATCCGTAACATGTTTTCTTCCAGAAATGTCCAAAGACACAAGGTTAGGCAAGATATCTTTCTGTTCCAGCAAACGAAGTGCTATGTCTGATGTGAACTGTTTGTCATCTGAAATATCAAGGTGATTCAGGTATTTTAGTTCTCTTATAACATCCAGAATCTGGGTTGTGGTCATTTTCAAGCATTTCAGGTGGTGCATGGTCAAAGACTTGAGTCGGTCTTTGCAGGTGAGGAGTGCTGTTATGTCAGTAACAGAGGTGTTCGATATATCCAGACTTTCTAACCTAGGAAGTGAAGCAACATCTGCCAAGTCCTCATTGTAGAACAGAACATTGGTAATACTCAATGCACGAAGCCCAGACAACTGACTGAAGCACCTCTCGTATGGGTCTTCCAAAGAAAGAGTTAGTGAGTTCAGCACAAGGCATTGCAGATTTTGTTGGATCCATTTATTGCTGCCAAGTCCACTTATAATGTCTGTGATTGTTATATCAGCATTCACCCCAGTAGCATCAAGTTCTACCAGCTTATGATGGCAGAATGCTTTCCGGAAAGCCACAGCAGAGATTTTCGCTTTCCGGATACAAGCTCGTTTCAAACGCATCTGGTTGCCTCGGAAGATGCCCACAGTTCCATCATTCAGAAGCCCTGTTGGAAAACAGCATTAGTGTTTGGCTCCAATGTTATAGAACACCACTTTTATTTTAAGAACCCAAAGGGTACAAAGCGTTAACAAAGAAAATTAATTGCGAAGTAGTTTGTCTTGGATCATTATGCCATGATCCCAAAATTTTATATTTGAGATTCCACTTTTAAGATTACGATCTCACTTTCGGAAAATGCCAGGTTTAAGAATAGGACAGATAAATTAAGATGTCATATATACACATTACCTGTTTGTTTCAGAACATTCAACATGCAGTAAATAAAATGTGGATATGATTCAAAAACATTCAGACTGCTGCCTGTATTTTCTAACTAGCTAGAAATGTGTTTAAAACAGAATTTCAAAATTTCTGAAAGTTATTCTTCCCTGGTCACAGTTCCATTAATCTCATGATAGTAGCAGCAATTAATGACCAGTTCTCATCTTGCTTTAATTCCATTGAATAATTTAGCATTTGATTGAATTCATAAGTAAGATCAATACACTAAGCTAAGCTAATTAAGTTCTTCTATATATCCCTCATGAAGAAGGTAGGAGCATTGCTCAGAAACAAGCTGAATGTGAGAAAGAAACCTAAAAAGTGATTCAAAGAGGAGAAAGAGGAGTACAAGGAGAGAGTGGGAAGGAGTGAAAGACAGCAATGAAAAAAGGAAATGCAACAATCTTGTTTGAGATTATTATCTTTTTGCTCTGTAGCAAGAAGACTGCATAAGTAGTCTTCTCTTGCAGCATACTGGCAACATCTTAACTGAAATAATAAATTTAGTTCCATGCACAGGATAATCCAAAATGTATTGAAAACACTGAGTTTTCACATTTGTATCTTATCAACAGAAGGATTACTGCTTTATAGAAAGCCATGAGAAGGGTATAGTTGCACAAGCATGCACACAAAAGGAGTAGGAAGAACATGTCCTTCTAGTTTCACTCTAGAGGGTTATAAAAGTCAACACTCCCGTTTTTTATTGCTTATCTTCAAGCATACTGAACACAGAGAAGAAACTGAAAATGCAATATATTTGAATAAAAACATCATTGCCACTACAGTTTGGATTTAAGTCATGAGCTAGTAATTGCCTCTGTGACAAAGTCAAATTAATATTAAGATTTGCAGAGCTTTCTAAAGAGCAAACCGTTTAGGCATTGCTGACCAAGTAGTCGGGGCATTCCTCTTTTGCAGAGAAAGCAAAAATATGGGGTGAAACAATTCGTACCCAGCAGAAAAATTAAATGTGATAAATAATTATAATTTGGTTAAAGTATTGTTAAATTACGTCTTAATTTTTGCTAATCTTTTCATTTAAGAATCAAGGTAGGCTTTCTCACTGGCCTACCTTAGCCACACCCTGTTTACCTGGCATGCACTTTTTTGACATCCTGCACTCTGACACAGTGTTTGTGATGTTTCAGTGTCTGGAACTGCCTTCATCACCACTAGCACTGGTAATAAGTTTCTGATAATTCAGTTTCCGTGAGTCTGATTTCTTAGGACCACTCTAAATAATTACTTATCAGAAAGTAATGTATGTTGAAGATGAAGAGGTTTTTTGGGTTTGTGGTTTGGGTTTTTTTAGGACCATTCCTTCTGTTATATCTGACTAGAACAACTTGAAAAAACTAGAACACCAGTATTTGCACAATAAGACCAATCAAATCTGCACCTATAGGATAGGGTGCTCGGTCTGTTTAAAGTAATTTTTCTAGGGTAATGTCTCATCTCTAAATAGAAGTCTCCAGGATCTCCAGGAATGGGTCTCCTGCCTCTTCTCTAGGGTAATCTATACATTCACTCTTTTCATGCTAAGAAGCTTTTATTGACACAACATTTTCCTTCGTAATGCTTAAAGCAAGGAAAGGAGAGGGAAGCCCCCTCCTCAAAGATGTGCTGACAGAGAACATGACAGGCCAGTACCTAAAACATAAGAACACCACACAGTGTGGTTTTTACAGATGTTTATTCTACTCTTGAAACTGACTGCTTTTGAGCAAATAATTCCACTTCAACAAAAGTGCCGAAAGAGATGAGAAACTGTTTTAATGAAAATCACAAGATTATTTCCTAGTTTAATCACAAGGACACACAGTAAAGAAAATTCAATTGATTGCTTTACAGGAGATACTGAAATATTTGAGTGGTGCTAAAAGTAGTAGAATCAAATCTTTTTTAAAAGTGATTGAAAGAAGATCTATTAAAGAATATTCAATTAGAAGAACATTAAATTAAAATCATAAACCCAAGACAAAGGACCTTCTATTTAGAACTATCTATATGGCAACGCAACATTCAGCTGAAGCTGTGGAAAAACCAAAGTAACAGAAACTCTCTATTAAGAGATTAAGGAACACAGTTTTAACAGCTACAACAGCAGATTCTACTAGAAAATACACCAGAACTGCAGTGTCACAGTCCAGTAAAATATTTTCACTGATGACCAACAAATAATTGTTTTTACCATGAAATGCCACTGTCTGCAGCAATCGATCAGCCACTTCTTGAGGAAACATTCCTGGCTCCTGCAGGCATAGTGTTCCATCTTGCCTTTCTGTGCAAAACTTCTCTAGGTTGGCAGTCAGGAAATTCAAACAAATATCAAGTAAAGAATAAGGAGACGCTTCCTCCTGTCATAGGCAAAACATAATGAAACAAAGGAGATTTAGTCAAATCATTCTCTCTGTCTATGAATCTTCCATTCCTCTGTAATATTGGTTTTAGGCAAATCATTCTTTTTTGTTAGTCTAATTCTCATTGGAGCAGGCAAATACGACAAAAGGAGACGTCCCCCTTAGAGCCACACAAATGTGTAAGTCAGGTCACACAATAAACAACTGGCCAAACTGATGGGCAGCCTCCTCCCCCAGCCACCCCCAGAACCACATCCAGTCTGGTCTGTTATGCTTGAGCCCTGCCTGCGTTCAGAGAAAGAAAAGTAATTGCTGGTACGATTATTTGAATTTATGAAGTCTACTGGGAATTAATCAATCAAGACAGACTGAAAGAAGATTTAAATCAAATTTTGCTTCTTGATTTAAACTATTTTAATCTTTCATTTAGGTCAACCCACATTTGAAGTCTACTACCAACCTACATGAGAAATGTAGATACATTTCAAATGTTGTTCAGAGCAATTTTTGATACTGAAATGGACAGCTAGAGCTTCAGATCAAAAAAGGAAACTCAAAAAGAACTATTATATTGCTGCATGAAATTTGGAATTAAAGTAACAACTAGTACAGTATTCCTTCTGATTATAGATACCAATTTCCTCCTTTTTATGCTAAGCACCTGGAATCATCTACAGTAGAACCCTGGGTACAAAGGACAAGGCAGAATATGAACTTGAACTTTTCCTTCAGTTTGAGATTGTACATTGATATATGAAAATCTCAAAGGTTTTTTTATTCAATGTCTAATAATAGCCTACTGTTTTCAGTCACACAGATTAATCAACATAAAGAATGACTCGCAGCACTGTGAATCATCCCCAGCACTACACAAAAGAAGGCCGAGTGACTGGTACATACTCCCCCAGACAATTTTGAAAATAACAGCATCAACTGTTCCCAGATCTCATCTGTAGCAAAAATTGTAGCTTGCCTTTTATACTGAAAGTTCTGGATAATTTCACCTTTCCTAGTTCATTTAACTTCTCTTCTGTTGCCTCATTTGCCTAATATGCTCATCACAGAAGTACAGAAATATATAAAAGATTATATAGAAGAAATATAAAGAAAATGACAGAAATAAGTCTTCTAAAATAAGGTGCATATATTTGAAGACTGGGAGGTACCATGTTGGGGCAAAGATGGAATGGAGCTTGTCTTTAATGAATCATGTATTGACAACGAGAGACTGCAGTTTAAGAGCTCCTGAAGACTTAAGTGCAGGTTTGGGAACCAGAGACTCCAAATTATTCAAATACAAGCTCTTTCTGCAGTTTTTGACACGCAACTTTCAATTCCTTTGACTCGATTTCACCAAGTGCTTAATTGTTTGGTTTGTTTTTTTAAAGCTTATTACATTTTATTGTTGAAGAAACGAGTAATTTTGTGACGCAACTTGCTCATGTTACCAGAAAACAGCAATTTTGGCTGCATCCAATCTTAAGCTGGTATGAAAAGGAAAGACAGAATTCGGAACTGTTAACGTCTTTTGTTTCTTTATAATGTGCAACAATGCCTGAAATATTTCTAAAGAGAAAAAACAACTAATTATTTTAAAATAGTACATTTTTTGAAGGAAAGGGGAAAATTTTCTTTTTAACCTGAAATTAATACACACACCCAGGACTTACATTACAGATGCTGATTCAAACAAAAATCAGAATCCTTACTGAAAGGCACATGAAAATTATTGCCACTGAAGCAAAGACATCCTCATCTCCCATTAGATCTTATGCTTCTAATTTGATGCCTAAATATGACAAAAACAGAATACTGGCTCTCTTCATTCCGTCTGGCGCTGTTCCATAATTTCTGCCAGAAGAGCTAAAACACTTTTATATATCAGTGAGCAAATTCCAATGAGAATTTTTAACTTTGCAGATTGGCCGCTAGCATATGATTCAGAAAACTATTTTTTCAACCAGTACCTCTAACTGGCCAATCTATAATTTGGAGATATTGTTTTAATTTTTGTATAAAATATTCACTTTAGAAGTCTATACAGGATATCTCCATACAATAAAGGAACAAAATCCACAAGAAGGGATCAATTACACTTGCAAACACCACAGTATCATTTTTATTAACTCCACTTATACCAGTTCTAGGAGACATTTGTAATGTTTCTTCAACTTGCTGCAAAAAAGCTGACGAAACACACCTAACGAAGGCTCCCAAGGTAACCTGGGCAGATAGGCAAAACATTTTTATCTATACATAATAAAATCCCTTGACAAACATCATAAAAACAATTTCCTAGACTGTCTGCTACTGAAATAGAACAGCTTGAATGCAGCCTGTAAACCTTTCGTGTGAGCCAGCAGCATTCCTTTTCTCAACTCCTCTTTACTTGTGGAGAATATTGCCCAGTTAAAGACCTCATAGTAAAAGTCTTCAGTTGTATTTAAGCTCTTACAAGGTTAGGATTTAAGTGGTTCCTTTCTCTAGCTATGCTTTTGAACGTCAACTTGAAAACAAACCTGGCATTTGTTTTCAGCTCATTTCACTTTCTGGTTCTAATACTAGCGAGACCCTGTAAATGTGTGTCAACCACAACACAGGGGGGTTTTTTTATTTATTTACTAAAGATCATTCAGCAATATTTGACTAGAACTTTTATTATGTATATTTGACTTCATAGCCATCTTAACTACCTGATACTTCCATGTAACCTCACGGTTTCTTTCATTCTATCAAATTAATTCAGTGGCCAGAAAATAAATATAAAAAAAAAATCCACAAAACACAGCATTATGCATTTTATGAAGCAAGTCACATATTAAAACACATATTAATAAGAGTAATCTGACACATCTAAAATCAACTACCTTATGGAATAGTAAAAAAAATAGAATAATTTCATTTAGATGGGCTTTTCAAGACTTATTTCAATTAATTCTTTAAAAAAAAAAAAGATAATTTTGTAAGTGCTTAATATAACCAAGGCAAACAAAAAAGTGTCCAGGAGGGGTGAGGGGGGATTAAACTGCATGGCTACTGGCATCTAACAGTAATCCAATACACCAGTGGACTGAAATGCAATACGAACTTCAATATGGTGTTACCCAGTTCAGCTTACAGCTCATACACTAGCGTAGTTGGAAAGGTTCTCACAAAGAACACTATCCTCCACATTTTCTTTTAAAAATTCCTTGAATCAACTTTAAATATTGCTAGAATATATTTACCCTGTTTTTCAAAATGCAGTTAAAAAGAAAAAAGACCTTAGGGGGACATCTTAAAGTACCTGGAATAAGTTAGAGAAACTTAAGCCCAACATTATGCCTAGATTAACTGGCTGAGTGTGAGTATAAAAACAAAATCCTGTTCCTTTGGGGAAGCATCACCACGCAACCACCTGCTTATACAACAATAACTAAAAAAGAGACAGGTTTAACTGATGTTTTCCATCAGTAATTGCAATCTAACTCTGCACAAGAAGTAAATTCCACTGCTGTGTGGGCCTTTTTCACTATAGGTGTTGTGATCCTACCAACTTCAGCCTGAAAGATTCAGTTCTTTCTGACTTTGTGTCTCAGACTCGTTAAATCTCATCTTTTTTTTCCATAGGTAGTTCCCCCCCCCCCCAATAAACCAGTATAAAACATTGGAAGGAGTTGGACTTGATGATCCTTATGGGTCTCTTCCAACTTGAGATATTCTGTGATTCTAAGACAAATACCAATTTCAGCTCCAACAGAACCACTTCTATGATGTGCTCCCCAATTTTTATGCCCAATTGCAGACTCAGTATGACAAAACCCAAATGTGTAAGGGCTCTGTATGCCAGGTCCATCTGCTTTTTTCTCTTTGAAATCTCAAAGAAGGAGATGGGGTACAGGATAAGGGACTTCTCAAATCATGGCTGCTTTCTCTTTCAAAAAGTTAGCAGGAAATAAGAGGTAATTTAGAGCGTTAATCTTTGATCTTGGACATACCATGTTTCTCACTGTTTTCCACCTCTCCACAGCCCCAACACTTTACTTACTTTCTTAAAATGAACATTCTTAAAACAATCAAGAAATAGCAACTCAAGTAACAGTCATCAAAATTCTTCTGAGTACTAATAAAGAAAGGGAAAGGCAGTGAAAAATAAACAGTTCTGTGATTTATGTTATGAAGAAAGCTTTATGATTATCTTACTTAAATTAAATTGAATGAAACAGAAGTAGGCAATTCATTAACCAGACTCAAGGAAGGATTATGCTCAAAACTCAAATTTAATATTAACTATTCTGGCACAAGTGGGAACATACTGATTAAAGTTGCTAGTGATACAGAGTTGGCAGAGATCACGAGAGGTCTGTGCCACAGTAAAAGTACATAGTAAGGCCACGTATTTCAAGATTAATATCAAGAAGGTCAGGTATGAGTTCATCAATTAGAAATGACTGGAGAGAAGAACCTGAATGGTTTGTTTAACCACAAGAAAACAACGTGAGGCAGCCAAAGAAGGTATAAGGAGAAGCATCAAGCAAAAATAAGGAAGTATTATGTCATTTTCAAGCCACTTGGAGATCTCATGGGGCTATTTATGTTGAGATACCTGCACCATTTCAGTTTGAACATAGCAGCTACTAGAAAAAAAAGCATGTTGGGAGTAGGAAACAAAACCAGCTTTTCTTAGCCTAGCAGATCAAAAGGCAAGATACGAATGCCCCCTATAAATACAGCATAGTGAATAAAAACTATAGAAGGAAATAAGCTATTAAGGTGAAGCACAGTGCCAGCACAGCAACAAAGGTGCATAGAAATGCCATGAATTAGAATTTTGCCATAAATTCAGGTGTCAGTACATAGCTCCAAAACAAACAAGTTCTACCCTAGTCCACTGAATAGAACAGCAGGCGCAAAAGGTACCTACTTTTAAAATAAAGATCAAAAACTTATTAGGGGATTAAATGAAATTATACTTTTACTAACAAGGGATGAGACTAGGTAACCCAGGAAGTCCCTGCTAGTCCTTTAAAAGCAAATATGCACACTCATCTCTCAGAGGAACAATCAAAACAGCACCCATATGCTCTGCTCTGAGGCCTGTCTTCAACAGAGAAAGGCTGTGTTTCTCCATCGCCAGTTTTGGCCAGCTCACTGCTGTAAGAGCACGCTACTACACATCACACAGATCAGCAAGGCCCACGTACCATGCATACCACAAAACCCGTGCTTTCGGTGGCACGGCTTTTTCCAGACAGTCCCTGGACAAAGCAAGCCCCAGAGGGGAAAGTACTGTTTGAGAGTTGGACTGCACCCAGACTGGGGGGGAGGCAGGAGCTGGAGAAGGCAGACACGGCTGTCCTGTCCTGCCCTTCACGCCGGCCGGCCGAGAAGCTCGGCCCGCCGGGCTGCCCCCCCGATCCTTTGCGGCGGGAAGCCGGCCGCACCGCCG